ACTTCTGACTCAACGGTACACAACAACTATATTCCAGACTTGTTCTGGACACTTCACCTATTCTCCTCCTCCAAGAGGCCCCTGTTCTGCCCATTTCCCAGATGAAAAAAAAATTAAGCTCAGGGATATTTGTCCAAGTGAAAGGCAATTAGGAAACTCACTCCAGAAGCCCAGTCCCACTGCCTCTAGTGAGGACAGTGAACTGGAAGGCGCCATGTCTAGGCTCTCTTGGAAACCAGGAGGATCAACTTCCTCTGTGAAATGATAAGCAAGGTTCTCCATGCACAGTCTGCCCCAGGACAGCCTCCACCGGGAAAGGACGGTTGCTCTGAAGTCTGCAAGAGGTGCCCCCACCTAGGAATTCCGAGTTTCAGGTGTGAGGTTCTATGTAACTGGCTCAATACAAAGGACCAGGCTGGGCGGATGGGACCAGCCCGGTCCTCTGTTTCTCTGGCCCCCAGGGGCCGCGTCATTTCCTTTGTTCCAGGCATGGTGAAGGCCTAATGATGCAGCCAGGAGCTCAGCTGTAGACACGCTTTCATTATTTTCCACCCTGTTAACCTCCATCACAAGGCAGGCTGCTGTCAGCCTAAATGAGAACGGAAAAGATTTATCTCCCTTGTCCTTGGGCTCAGCTCAAGAAAAAGACCCTGCATTTCCTAAAGGCCTCGCTGACCCTTCCTCCGTGAGTCATTCTCACCCAGGAAAAGTGCTGTGACAGCAGCGGCAGGCGGCAGGCAGCGGCTGGGGCAGCAGCGTTGTGATGGGATCCGCTGCTCAAACTTGCAGACGGAGGTGTCACTCCTCAGTTGGCTCTGGAAAGCGCTCTGCATTTTTCTTTCCTCTTCTGCAGTGTATTTACCTTCCTGGCTATGTTTGCTTATGTGAATATTAGACTACATTTCATAAGCACAGCCTCAGGAGGGGATGAGAAGCACATCATGCGGCTGGAGGAAATGAGGCTGAGATGGCAATTTTGCTATTTAAAGTAATCCCCAAAGTGATCATCCAAATACAGACAATGGAGATACTACATTTTTAACTCATTTCCCCCCCTCTTCCTTGTGCTTCCAGATATCCCAAGTCACCAGATCCTAAAAACTTGCACCTGGCAAGAAGAGATGAGCTAAATTACCTCCAGTAATAAGTAAGCCTAAACTAAACCCATTACCATGAAGTAGATTCCAACTCACAGTACCCAAATGACCTACTCCATACGGTGTCCAGGGCTGTTATAGATGCAGAATGAATGTATGAATATACATTCTGGAGAAAATGCAGCTGCAGTGCTCCTTGTAGGCAAGGATGGTGAAGCTTCATCTCCATACTTTGGGCGTATTGTTAGCATTCCTTGCAAATGGGACATTATGCTTGTAAAGGTGGAGGGTTGGGGAAAAGAAGAGCTTCAACCAGATGGATTGACACAGTGACTGCAGCAATGGGCACAAGTGTACAGAGATGATGAGGATGACACAGCCTGGGACAGTCTTCAGATCTGTTGTCCACAGCGTCACTATGAGACATACTCGACTTGATGGCATCTAATAACAACAAATCTGTATGAAAACAGACATACATCTTTTCTCCTGTGGAGTAGCTGGCGGATTCAAACTGTAGACCTTTACTGTTATTAGCCAAGTACTTACCTGCTGAGTCTCCAGAGATCCCTTTAGCACTAGCCATTATTGTTGAGCCATTTGAAATCTCCTGGTGGGACAGAGGATGCCAAGGTTGTAAGGAGCACCACTGGATGAGTGTGTAGAGTATTTACCGCTAGCCAACAGCTTAGGTCTTCAGGCTGCTTCACATATGGTCTGGTAAAGCAGTGTCAGCCTTAGACACCTAATGAAGGACCAGTGCGAGTTGGAATTGACTTGATGTCAGTAAGTAGGGGTTGGTTTTATTTTTTTAATCAACGTGCAGGAGCCCTGGTAACATTGTGGGCTAAGCACTGGGCCGTCAAACAGAAAGGTCAGCAGTTTGAACACACCAGCCAATGTGGGAGAGAAAGATGAGGCTGTCTGTGGAAATCTATAGCCTAGAACCCTACAGGGCAGTTCAGCTCTGCCTGGGAAGGGGGCGGGGAGGTGGGGGGACACTGTGAGTCAAAGGCCATCTGCTGTCTTGGATTTTATTTATTTTTTTTAAATCAGTATGATAATAGCATTCACCGAACCCTTACAAATGTCAAGTAGTGTTATCCAAGCCTCACAGCAGCCTAATTCTTGAAGACAGACACTGCGGCACAGGCAGTCTGATAAACCCAAAGACACACAGCTAGTAAATAGTGTAAGTAGCATGAACTCAGGAATGAAAGTATTCTGGACCCTGAGACCACACCTCAAAACACTTGGCAATACCTCGCTCTTCCACAGGCTCCACTTATTCAACCCTCACACTGCCCAGGGGAAGTTGATGTTGTTAAGTTCTGAGTCTGTGAATGACAGATCTGTCCTATCCTGTGTCATCCTCATCAACTATGACATACTTGAGCCCATTGCTGCCATCACTGTGTCCATCCATCCCGACTAGGGTCCTTGGCTGACCCTCCGCCTTTCAGAGCATGTCCTTGTCTAAGTCCTGGCCTCTCCTAACAGCACGACCAAAGTAGATGAGCTGAAGCTTCGCCGTCCTTGCCTCCAAAGAGCACCCCGGCTGCACCTTTCCTAAGACAGACTTCTTTGTCTTTAGGCAGTCGGCAAGTTGAGCTTAAACCCATTTTAGACAGAGTTTGAGGTTCACAGAGTCTTGCTGACTTGCTCATTTCACAGATAAGGAAGTAAGGTTCACAGAAGCAAATTTAGTTCTATAAACGTTTACACAGTCTCTTGTAGGCACCAGGCACTGACTATAAGTCAGGGTTCAGAGATCTCTGGGAGACTTAAAAGGTGGTAAGGACTTGGGTTGCCAACCTAAAGACACATGGTTCAAATCCACTAGTTACTCTATGGGAGAAAGATGGGCAATCTCCTCCAGTGTGGTTTGTTGTTGTTATGTGCTGTTGAGTTGCTTGAGACCCAGAGGGACCCTATGTACAATAGCACTGAACCCTCTTCTATCCTGAGCCAATCTGTCTCTGACACACCTACCCCCATTACCCCAGTTACTGTGTCAATCCATCTACTCCAGGGTCTTCCTCTCTTACACTGTTCCTCCATCCTTTCAAGCTTGATATCCTTCTCCAATAACTGGTCCTTCCTGGCACCATGCCCCAAGTATGTGAGATGGAGCTTCAAAATCCTCGCCTCTAAGGAACAACTTGGTTTTACCATCTCTGAGACAAATCTGTTTGTTATCTTGGTGGTCCATGGAATTACTGCCTCTGAAAACCCACTGGAGGGTCAGCTATGAGTCAGTTCTGACTCAATGGTACATAATAACAACAAAAGCAACACTCTCCATACTCAGCTTCTGGTACTTAAATGGGTAAAAGCCTCTGAAAGCAACTGCGCATTCTACCAAAAGCTGTGAAAATGAATCTACTTGTTGGCCTTTTTTACATAAGTGAGCCAAAGACAGTCTCTGTGTGCCGACCCTTGGCAGTTTGCCTCTCCATTGTAAGCCGAATCCTGCCAACCCTAAAAGCACAAGGTTCATTCAACACTCAAATTCTTACACAACTATTTTTTAATGACCCAGACAGCACCGTTTTAGCCTCTTCGAGTCTCCCTGATTTGCCCACCCCAATACACTGCACCCATTATCTGCTGGCCCTGTGCAAGACAAAACTCCACAGCTGTAAAGAACACAGTCCCGGAAGCACCTGTCCTTTGAGCTCTGTAGCCCAGAGACCTCCCACACTGCAGCAGGACATCCAGGTACCGAGACTCTCTCACACCCCAGGGGCTCCTTGCCACCTGCCTCCAGAAAACCTTGACTGTCGAGGTTAGTCCCTGCACACAGCTATCTGGGCATCAGCTCCAGGAAACAGTGCAACACCTTCTACCTTCTTCCCTGAGCAACTCAACTCCCTTGGACTAACTACACGCCAGAGCTTCCTGGTGCAGAAATAAATACTAATAGGGCAAAAGTGGCTTTGACAATGGTGTGTATGTGAAGAAGCTCCCAGCAGCATTCCTTGTAAAAGCAAAAAATGGTGGAGATAACTTAAGTGCCCCTCTGCGAAAGGGTGCATCGATATGTGGGACAAGGGACATCTGGTGGCTCTGTGGCTAGTCAGAAGCCTGGTGCATTCTAAGCCACCACCCAGTAGCTCTACACGACAGTCACTAGCAATCTGCTCCAGTGAAGACCATGACCCAAGAAGCAGGAAGGGCTAGCTCTACCTGTCACGTGGGGTTACTGTGAACTAACAACAACATATAATGAAATATAGGTCACTATTTGAAATGTTATAGAAATGTACTGGGTGATATTGGAGGAAATGTGTAGTCAATTTCTGGAGGACATAAGCAGGTAATAAAGTAATAAATATAGTATAACATCATTTGGAAAAATGTACCTGTTCACAAGAAAATGTATTACTGAGTTGATTCTAACTTGACAGTTCTGACACCAGCAGCAGCGTAAATACACACAGAAAGACCTGCATATGTACATGTAAAAATATCTACAGCACCAAATAATCCTTTCTGAATGGAAGCCTTTAAGGAGATTTGATTTTCTTTGTTTCCAGATTTCCTACAATGACTATGTTTTACTTACCTAGTCATGTAAAGGTTTTTTATTACTAAGGTACTGGTCACTGAAGTTGTTGAGGTCAGTTAGCCTTTAAAAGTCTGATTTGAGGTTCAGGTTCTGGTTCTGGGGTGCCAAGCTCAGTGCTCAGCCCCTGAACCCTCCAACACACCTACCACAGCCCCGCTGAACACACCTACCACAGACAGCGCAGCCCCTGAACCCTTCAATACACCTGTCACAGACATCCCCCCTACCCTCCTAGGCCCAGTTCCCCAAACCACATCCTACCCTGGCCGGTGGGGTTGCCATGACCAGCCTGGGGCGGAGAATGGGGCAGGTGGGGCAGCCTGCTTGCCCACCTTTTTGAAGAGCCGGATGACATCCTCGCTGATCTGGGAGAGGCGGACGATGACATTGTTCATGAAGATGTCATTGAGGGTGGCGTGGTCCCGGCTCTCTCTCCTTGTCTGATGCAGCACCAGGTACCAACAATTCACAGGTGATAGAAGGTACTGGTCCTTCCTGTGAAAACCAAACAGCTTGAGTTGGCTTCATATGTACTGTTATCTACAAGGTTTGACGCTGTCCCACAACCTGGCTCTTTGACCCTCATAGTCTGTCTCCCTTCCAAAAGGTGGGTTTTAGTATGACACATTTTACATTTGAGCAAACAGAAGTCACAGGAGGTAAAGTGACCCTCCCAAAGTCACATGGCGGACAGAACTGGTCCCAAGCCCAGGCCCTATCCTAATCTAGGGGAGCTTTGGTGGCCTGTTGGTAAGGACTTGTGCTGCCAACCCAAAGCCACACAACTCAAACTTACCAGAAAGGTGACCAATTTCTTCTAGTGTAAATTACTGCCTAAAACCCACTGGAGGCTCAGCTATGCATCAATTGCAACTTGACAGTGCACACTAACAATCTATCCATCCATTGAGTGAAGCAGTTGCACCTCTCCCTCATTGGAAGAGCTTCTTTCTTTGGGGCTAGGAAATAGTAGACCAACTCTATTGAAAATACTTGCATGAGTTTTAGAACTACACAGGGGAAAGATCAGAGTGAACTCTCCTTTCCCTTTCTCTGCTTCCCCGCAGCCTCTCCAACTTTTAACTCCTTTGCTCTTATCCAGGCATCAGCTTAGGTCTCATGGTTTCATGGAAACTTGGGTACACATGCCTTTACTCCTCTTTGGAGCTGGGGGAGAGGAGTGAGTAGTCTGTTGGAGAAGGGGATTTAGAAGAGCTGTTCTTGAAGAAGGCTCACGAAGGCTCACCAAGACAAATACACCTTTGCTGACAGGTTCTTTGCATACACCGTGTGTTATGACATACGAGTGGTTCCCATAGTCTAGTTTCCAAGCATCACCTGGAAACGTGCTCAATGTTCAAGCACCAGTCTCACCGACATCAGTGAAATCAGAGATCTTGTGGCCCGACCCAGCGGTCTGGGTGGTTCTGATGCTCTCGGTCTGAGCTATCGCATCCCAAAGCTGAGGACAGCAGTGAAATGAGAGTATGTCAGCCCTTAGCAAAGCTCTCTTTCTTAGGAAGTGCATATACTATTCTCTAGCAAAGAAGGAAGGAGGGCAACTCAAAACCAAAACCAAAAATCAAATCTCTAACTCCATCTTGCCACACAGAATTCTCTGGAATTCTTGGCTTTTGTTCCCGAGTCTTCCTTCTCCTCCACTTTCCAGTGTGAACAGGAAGGATTGGAAAGGTCAGAGGTGCAGGGAGAGGCCTGTGCACCAACCTTGGGGACATGCTCTGAGGTCCTGCCTGGCCCGACTGGCTCTGACCATCACCCTTGAGCGGGTGGTCAATCCAGGCCTGCCCACGGCTTTGTCCCCAGGAAGCACAGCCTCCCTCTGCCAGGGCATTACCAGATACCATAGAGTCATTTCTGATTCACTGTGACCCCCTGTGTGTCAGAGCAGAATGTGCTCCTTCTCAACAAAAGAACTCATCGTTGTGCTGTCAGAACTGACTCACAGCTGACCCTCCAGCAGGTTTGCAGAGGCCGTAAACTGCATAGGAGACGACAGTTCATTGTTCTTGTAAACTGCCCAGGAGGAGATGACTCATTTTTCTCCTGTGGAGCTGCTGGTGAACGTCAACCACCTTCCTTTGGGTTGGCAGTGCAACACTTTATCCACTAGTCCACCAGCACTCCACAGAGTTTTCAAACAGCTGAGTTATTGAAAGTAGGCTGCCAGGTCTTTCTTTTGAGGCACCTGTGGATTGAGTCTCCAATCTCCTGGATAGCAGCATGTCACTTTCACCAATTTGACTCCATCCACATGTAGAGAGAGAGACTCTCACTTCCCCTCCCACTGTGATGGCATCATCAAGCTCAGGGCCACATTGGCGTGATTAAAAGTGCAGCCCTGGGGCCCCTGGTCTATTATACCTTCCCCACCATCTCTCAGGGTTTGGGAAGGATTCGTGGTGAGGGGTCACTGGTCAGAGACATCTTCCTTTCTGTATGAAACCCTGTCGAGGTGGGAGAAATTTAGGAGAGGGGAACTTGGTTTAGACAGAAGATGGAAATGCTGAGAGCTGTTTGAGGAAAGGAAAGGAAGGAGGAATCTGTGAGGGAAAAATGGACATTCACCTCCCATGTGACTTGCTGCCTCTGAAAACCTGCTGAAGGGTGAGCTGTGGCTTGGTTCTGACTCAATGGTATGCAACTTTAGTTAGCAAAAGGTCATGCTAGAGCAGGGTATGTCCTGTAAAGACACACAGGGAGACATGGGAAAGAGAGAGGAGATGGTACGACAGAGACAGAGATGGGAGCAATACAGCTACAGCCACTGGAAGCTGGACAAGGAGAGGAAAGATCCTTCTCCAGAGCCTCCAGCTCTGCGGACACCTGGATTGTCCATGTCTAACCTCCAGAACTGGGAGAGAACACATTTCTGCTGTGTTGGTCACTGATTTGTAGCACGTTGTTAGGACAGTGCTGGGACAGTACGATACTTCCCCAAAGAGAGTCCTCAGAATCCTAGCCTGGCTGTGTCAGCATCACTTGGAAACTTGTCAGAAATGAAGGTTTTCAGGGCCAACCCAGATCTAAGGGACACGAAACTCTGAGGGTAGGGACAGCACCTGGTTTCCACCAGCCCTCCACGGATTCAACAACCACAACCAAGGGTTCTGATGCACTCTCAGAATGGAGAGCCTCTACCTCTGTACCCCTTCCACCCCTTGTACCCAACTGTAAGGTCTTTGACAGCAGGGGCTGTCCTGTGTTCTGTTCACTGTGTCCAAGGCCCAGTATTTTGTGTGAATACTATGGAAGTAAACACTATGGAGGAGAGATCAATGAGAAGATGGCCTTCAAAGATGGGTAATTTTCCAAATGGACAAAGAGGCAAAGAAAGAACTGAACTGTAGACAGAGGGAACTGTAGGCATAACAGGAAATAGCTTGGTGAGCTAGAAAACAGAGTGTAGCAGCAGAGGGCTGGTAGAGTGTAAGACTGGGGAGCCAAGATAAAACTGGATAAATGATGTTTACTGCATTGAAGCCGATGAGGGAGAGAATAGTTTAAAAGTAATATATTTTAGGGCATTGCGATTATCTTAAGAGTCTGGAATGAGGGTTGCAGAGTGGAGTATACTCGGGGTGGGGGTGGGGGTGTGCGGGGGGCTTTGTGTACCAATGAAGGAGTTTTTCTTTTGCTTTTCAAGGAGAGGAGTGAACTGGGGGTGGGGGGGGGGTGGGAGGGGAAAAAAGTGCAACAATGAATGAATGGAAGTCCAAAATCCCTATAGATGTTCATTGAAATTAATTTTAAAAAAAACAAAAAAAAAACCAAAACAACCAAACAAACCTTAGTTGTGGGTGGGGTAGTATTAAATGCAAAGCTAAGGAGTCTAGACTTTATCATCCAGGCCATGTGGTACTCAACCTGAGTTGCTGTTAGGTGCTGTTGAGTACAGCTCTTAGTGACCCAGTGAACAGCCAACTTGAACTCTTCCAGATCCTGTGCCATTCTCAGCATCTCTGACACACTAGAGCCCATTGCTGAAGTCACTGTGTCAATCAAAAGGGCTCTTCCTCTCCTTTGTGGGTGGACTCATCATCATTTCAAGCATGATAAGTCTTTCCAAGGAACAGCTTTGTCTACCAACACGTCAAAAGCATAAGAGACAAAGCTCTGCCATCTTTGCCTCTAAGCAGCACTCTGGCTGCACTTTTTCTAAAATGTATCTGTTTGTCCTTTAGCCAGTTGATAGGGTATTCAGTACTTTTCTGCAATACCACCAAGGTATCGGCACTCTAGAATCCTTCAGTGAGCTTTGACTAACTATCAAGAAATACTAAGATTCAGACTTCATCTAGGACCACTTAGTTGATACATTTTAAAAACACTCTCTAGAAGATTCTAAAAAATCTTATGCTTAGGTCACCATGATATGGGGCCCAAGACAATGGTGGCTAACAACAACAGAAGCCAAGTTTGAGAATCCCTTCTGTAGGCAATAGGGCATCGTGGAAGCTATTTAAGAAGTATGAGCATGGTTTGGAAAGATCATAGCAGGCAGCTAGGAGGATAGAAGAGTGGATGGATAGATAGGAATGGATGAATGAGTGAATGTGAACAATGGGTCTGGAGAACCAGCCACCAGGTGATCTTTGTCTCAAAGAAGAGAGACAATGAGGGCTGAGAAGGAGGGACTTGAGAAACTCTTCCTCACGAGGGCAGGGAATTCTAGAGCTTGCCTGCAAGAAGGAAGAAGAGGGTGGAGGAGTAGAAGCTGTGTGAAGCTTGGGCCTTGGGTGACTCAAGAGATGTGTATGATGAGACCTAAGATAAAAACTACAAGGGGGAGACATAGCTTTGGGAAGAAAAGATTCATTTAGTCCATTTTTCAAAGCTTTCTAGGTGATGATGGAAATATACAAATTAAAAACGAGATGGGATAATTGAGTTGTCATCCAAACTACTTCAAGAGCTTAGCTTGACCTGGGATGCATGAAGTTGATCAGCAACTGAGAATTACATGGTCAAAATCTATAGAAGACAGAGAAAGAATGTGGGTTTCAGAAGGAAAGGAAAAGACAAGTGATTTTGAAAGTGTGTAGAAGCAGAGAACTCTGGTGGTTTAGTGGCAAGAAACTGCACTGCAATCCTGGAGGTTCATGGTTCGAATCCACCAGGTGCTCTGCTTGAGAAGGAGGGGCAATCTCCTCCTATACCAGTCAGATTCAATTTGATGGTACACACACATACAAAATAAATAAATAAAATAAAAAAAGAAAATGTGCAGAAGTGCTGGAACAGCCCTGGCCCAACAGATGCCACCTGGGGAAAGGCAGAGAGTGCCTCACTTATCAGGGAGTATGGGCCAGGAGGTAGTGAAATCTAAGGCGAGATTGCCAGGGAGGCAGAGCAAGGGATGGAAAGGAGGGCAAATGACCCTCCAAGGGCTTGCTCAGTTGCCATGTCCAAGGTAGTCATTGTCCAAGTCAGTGTGTATGTGGTGCTGAAGCCACAGAGACAAGGACAGGTAAGAC